ATGGATCAGTTGTCCCAGCGGGACCAGATGCAGGTCATGCAAGCTCTCAATGAGATGCAGATGCAGGAGAGCACGGGTTTCAGCATCGGGGTATGATGATGTGAAAAAACGATAGGCCTTTATTGTGCAGACATCAGGAGATGATGAATACCTACAACAATCTGGTCGAGAAGTGCTTCAACGAATGTGTCACAAGTTTTCGCACGAAGGCAGGGAATTCACGGATGCTTCCTGTTATCACTGGCAACAGACCATGGAGTGATTGCCACATTGGTTGGGAGTTCCAATGTTTCGTTCAGAGGTGCCCCGATGTTTGTGAGAAAATACTGGTGGGAGGCTCTGGAAAGTTCCGAAGAACAGTGTGTCACGCGATGTGTGAGAGGCTGAGCGATATTCCAATGATATTCCTGAATTTTGGCACCTTAATGAAAGGCTTCCTAGCTTTCCATCTCAACGAGCACCTCAGGTACAGAAGTTCATGTCATTCAGCCAGCCGTGGCCTCGGTGCCGCCCAAGAGGTTGGAAACCCTCCAGTTGCGAGACGCTAAGGCGGGTGTCCTTGCGCTTTCAAGAGAAGCAGCAGCAGATGCAGTTGCAGCACCTTGGCAGCTAGTTATATAGTTCATGTTATATAGTTTATGTTATATACTTCACTATAGTTCATTTTTTGGATTTGTTTAAAGAGAACTACTTGGATGGTCATCCCAGTTGATAGCTTTCGTTGTTGGTTGGCAACCATGGACCATGGGTAGGAAGTCCACCCGTTTGCTGAAGTCATCATCGCAGTCACCTGGGCCGGAGCTGCAACCCAGGAAGCCTTCCTGATGTGGGGATCTGGCCGAACAGCGGTGACAATAGTGCCAGGATCTGCGCAAAAAAATGTGTCCGCTGAATGTAGTCCCACATGATGATTACCAAACATAGCAAAGGGATCGTGAAACATGGAATGGAATTTGTCCGCGCACTTTGATTATAGCTGCAGACTCTTGGGAACTATCATCAGGTTGCTTCTCCAGTCAAAGGTAGTCATATGCACCATGCATTTGAGTCATTTCACATTGTTACTTTGGCATCCTGGCTCAAGATTCAGCCGTAGAATCACGGCAATTTGCAACGGCCTGAGTGCTTCCAAACTCACACCTTTTGCACATGTCCTGGCAAAGCAGATTGGTGCTTTTTGTCAGATGACACACATGACCACCAACAAGGGAAGGGTTTCCTCCTGCTGTTTTTTTTCTCCCCTCGATAGGACTGCAACTGATGTGTTGGTGAAACCTTGTGAACTGAAGGCTTGCTCGTGGAAATCCCGCCTGCCGTGCAAGCAACTTCCATACCGCAATCATGCTTGAAACTTGGCCGCAGTAGAAAATGGTTGGAGAATGGTGCTGCTGAGCCACATGCTGTCACGAGCTACAGATAGCTACAGAGAGCCACAGATAACTACAGTTGAACAATATGGAACTTGATTTCCCCAGTTGAATTTGCCAGGTACAGAGGTTTCTCGTGGCCCTCGTTTGTGTGGCCGCCTTGGACCTTGAGGATTGTGACACAGAGGACAGGGTGGCTTAAGGGAGGTCAGGTAGCTGGTAAGATGCTTACGGCATTCTTGCAGCGGTTCACGCAATGGAGATGTGTTCGATGATGCATAGTTATGGTTTTGCACGGAGAAGAGACAATGGTCATGAAGTTTTAAATTGCCATCCATTGTCGATGTGCAAACTTGAAAGCAGCACCTTGCCGCAATGCGACAGGATGAAGCCAAGCTGTTGGATGTGCAGCTGCTCCAAACCTCCCTGCAGTTCTCGAGCAAAACTCGAAATGTCATCCTCTCAGCGTTGAAAGGGGAGACAGGGTGAGAGCGAATTAGTGGATGTGGAGCTGTCAGGATAGGCTTGGAATGGGAGGTTTTGCCCCAGCAGAATGTGTGGAGCTGAGGTCATGCGGCTGGAAGAGCCTTCAGACTCGCAAGATCCGCAAACGTCGGAGGAAGATACCCCGGCAGAGGACTGGATTCTGACAGGGAGGCGACAACTTGTGCGGGTATGAGCTTTGGTACGCCACGTATGTCAAAATCCGATGATCAAAGATTGGCAGGGCTAAAAATTAAAAGTCATTTAAGGGTCCCTGTGCACAGTGCCGTTCTCAGGACCAGTCACTTCTACAAACTTCCTTGGAGGCTCACAGAGATTTTGTCCTCGGATGACCTGGTTATATCGCTGTGGGTCAGTGAGAGCGTGCCATGTGCGTCCCTATATAGGTCCGAGTTCGTGATTTGAAATGGGCAAATCGCACGTGTCACTTGCCAAGCTAACTGGCGAATCAAAGATGGTGATCCTGGTGATCACGCATCCGATGTCGAAACTTGACATACCCCCGGAGTGTGCATATGCCGTACTTGTTGATCAGCCAAGATGTGCTTGGAGGTCAGTCTCTCCTCGAACGGTTCAAGTATGTTAGGCGCCGAAGGCTGGACGGCCATGAAATCCACATCAGTTGGGTGTCTCAAACCCAGGCACCTGCAAATCTACAGGTTTTATCAAGTTTTCCAATGTTTTTTTAATTGATTCATGGTCCTACCAATGGCCTGGTGGAGGCTGGCGCCTCCGCCCCAACGCGAGCTGCTTCGTAGATGGCCTGCTACCCATTTCGGGCACCAAGCCGCTGTTGCTGCAGCTGGGAAGCTCAGGTTTCCAGGTCCTAGGCCATGACGATTTGACAATGGGATTGTAGCAGTCAATAAACAAGTTACTGCAGTTTATAGCTTTAACTTAGACCTTGTACTGTATTTAACTGCTAGGTAAGTAGATAGATAGATTGATTGAAAGGTAGATAGATAGATAGGTAGGTAGGTAGGTAGATAGATTAGATAGATAGGTAGATAGATAGGTAGATAGATAGCTAGCTAGCTATGTAGATAGACAGACAGACAGACAGATGGATTAGATAGGTAGGTAGGTAGACAGCTAGCTATAGATAGATAGATAGATAGATAGATTAGATAGATAGACAGACAGACAGACAGACAGACAGACTAGGTAGGTAGGTAAGTAGGCAGGCAGGCAGGTAGGTAGAAGGTAGGTAGGCAGATAGATATGTGGATGTATAACATAAACTACATAACCATTGTTGTAAAGTGTTTGCATGATATGATCCCATTTGCAAGCAGTACGGGCCCTGAGGCTTGGAACCGTTCATGAACTTACCAATGTCATGGACAAGAGCGTGGAGACTTCACAGATGTCGCTGGTTCTCTACTTCATGGATTGGGCACACATAAGGCCCGTGTGCTGCTTATGGCGAAGACCAGTGAAACTGGGATTTCCGCAGCTTTCACCGTCATCTATAGTTGCCGCGGCCAGATGCCAATTTTTACGGAGGCCCACCTTGATTTTGACGCTCTACTTTTGCCTTTATGTTTTCTCCATCGTTGGGAGCCCGGACGTCGCTTATCGGGTTACCGAAAAAAAACGGATCGGACTGGCAGTGCAACCAGATTTTTACTCCAAGGTCTCGATGCACTATCATATGACCACCGCGGCAAAAAAGGCCAAGGATCCCAAATCGGACTGCTCATATTCCACGTTGGCGTCACTGGAGGCAGGGAAGTTTTGCCTCAAATTCGGCTAGGGCAGGATACTTCTGGAATGTTTGTGCTACGTCTGAAGGTTGGGCTTTCACCACTGGTTTTGCCCCCAGGACAGCTGCTTGGAGGATGAGGTCTTCAAGAGGGATCCTCTCGGCTGGCTTTGTGTGCTGGGACCTCAGAGAACAAGCGACAGCCAGGAACGGGGTGACATTTCCCTCCCAACATCCAAATGAATGCATCCAAGAATATTAAAGCACGTTTTTTTTTTTTGGGTTGTTTTTTGGGGAAGATGTTCAATATCACAGGGAAAAGAGATGGAAAGAGATGGAAAGAGATGGAAAGAGATGGAAAGAGATGGAAAGAGATGGAAAGAGATGGAAAGAGATGGAAAGAGATGGAAAGAGGTTACATACAGAAGATCTCAGCTATATGATCACCACACAGAGCACACACTGCACAGGTCCTGGCTCAATCCCATGGTGGCTCGACTAGGCGTGGTTTTCTGTATTCATCACTTGAGATCCGGAACCAAAAAAGGTGGAACCGTGTTTTCTGTTAGTTACTGGATGGCATTTTGGCTTTTTCCCGATGAGGTAATATGGTGACATGTTAGAGAGATCATTTTTTGACGAGCAAATTCGGAAGTTGGTGAGTGGGCAACTTGACATAAGAATCGGCAGCAGGGAAGATCATGTTTTGCGCCGAGCTCGTGTCAGGCCACTCATGGAACAGTGCCATGTCCAAGTGCGACCCGGACGATCTGGCACGACTGACTCCCCCAGAGTTCCAGGCACAAAATGGAACATGGAGCCCCAACAGATGATAAAAGAATTAAAAGATGAAGAGGTGGAGAATGTGGAGAATGTGGAGAATCTGGAGATTTATCATATTTAATATGATTTATCTTTGAAATGCACCGGCAGGCCTTCAAGGTCGGCGAACGCTTCGAGGAGCTTTGGAAGGCCGAGGTGGCTCAGTTTGGAGACCAGGACCGGAACCAGTTGCCTCACTGGGCAATGTGCCGTGCAACATCGTGCAACCAATACATTTGAATACATTTTGATGGATGCTGCAAGATGTTGGGCTTGATCTTAAACTTCTGAAGTGAACTTCTGACTAAAGATACTACAGTGATGCTTGCATTTTGTTGTTTAAAGCTCATGGTGTCCGGATAGGGCGAAAGGGAGCACTTCAAACAATCCCGCAGGCCAGCTTCGTTCTGGTGATGATGAGACTGTGGACTCATAGGCGCATTGTGTCCTGGCAGCACAGCTGTCTTCCGATCATGGCAGGACAATTTTCTGGGGAGATTTACCCGTACAAGAACCCACCAACAATTTCTCTAAAGCGATGCCTTGTCCATATATACATACATATTTATATATCATCTATGGTTTTGGCCGATTCCATGTTTTGCGGAAAGGCAGGTGGCAAGGTTCCTTCGAAGAACGCTTATTCAAAGTTCAAAGTTCTGAGTCCCTTAGCAATCTGCAAGTCAGCTTGAGGCTTGGTTTCAGTTCCTCCTTTTCCTCCACGTGGTGGTTGGCACCCGGCTGGCACATAGCCGATGTGCAAAGCTAGAGACAGCGCTTGTGCGCTTTGTGGTGGCATGTGGCCTTCTGCGACTGAGGTAATCTGTACCAAGTTTTCCTCATCCAGCACTCCTTGGACTATTTCTTTTGGCTTCAGAGATATGTTGCCCGGCAGATGGCTGCAGTATGCTGCAGTGCTGCCATCATGCTGCCATCTAGGCTAGAGGCTGAAGCCATCAGCATCTCAGGTGCGAGAGAACGGACAGCTGCCAGACATGACGGCACCCATTTTGACCTCCATCGTCACTTGGCCGGTGTTGATGTTGGGCTTTCCCTGAATGACTGTTGGTAGTGTACATGTAAATTCGTATCCAAATATGCGCTTGAGGTGGCATTTTCATTTCAGCCCTTGGCGAAGACCTCAGTCTCAGATGCCGCACCTTCCAAATAGTGCTTCCCAGCACCTTGTGATGGTTATTTTCGCATGTTTTCACATGTTCTTATGAAAGCATTGGCCCAGTTATTCGCGGTGCTATGCTCGTCTCTCGGCAGCACATCCCCCGCATTTCCCTCCAGCCCGGAAGGCACCCCCTTTCTGTACATCCCCCAGGCTGTAGCCAAAGGTCCAGAGGCGTTCAGCCTTGGAAGTGAGATGCAAATCCAACAACTCTGCATCTGGCAGGTTTGAAGCCAATCTGTCCATCAAGTTTGATCAGTGCACTGCGGGTGTAGTCCGAAACTCGGAGATTTTCGTGGCTAATCCCCAAATCACTTCAACCATCTTCATCCAATGAATCAATCATCTTCATCCTTAAAAAAGGGGGGTGGTCATGGTCATCTACAGTGCGGTTTCGCCCAGGCCACGGTGCTGTTTCAGAAGACCCAGCGGCTTCCCTCGGCCTCACTGGGCTCGGACGTCAAACAGATTGATGACCTGAAGCCAGGAGAGCAGCCCATGGTTTCCAAGAAGCCCAATGTTGCATGGCACAGGGGTAGAGACGGTAGAGGATGGAAGGGGAGCGAAACTGGGTTTGGATAGTTTGGATGCAGTTTTCTAGGATTTGGACGGGGGCCGAGGCTATGATGGTGGTGAACAATGATCTCATCGCCAACTTTCACGGGCCGCTGGGTGTGTGATGATCACTGTGTGATGCTGTGTGAGAAGTTGAAGCCCATGGCCATCATTGGCTATCTGCCAGATCTGCCAGATGATGCCAGATGTGCCAAGGCTGGTCTTCACCTTCGCCATGTCAATGAACGCCACGGTGACGGTGGCGCTTCTGCTGATTTTGATGGTGGACTCCTCAGTGCCTGGTGGTTCTTCGGTGATTCTGCCGGCACCCGATGCACCGATGCACCTAAGGCCATCAAACTCCGCGTGGCCACGCTCTTTTGCCTTGCAGTGGCGATCCCAGGCCGTCTCTAACAGTTTCTGTTTGACTGTGGTGAAGAGTGCCATTGCTTCCAGTCATCAGAATGGCACTTCTCATTCACTGCGCTCTGATATGAGTTGTGACATGTTGTGAATAGTTGTGACATGTTGATCATGTTGTAATTAGCATCCTTTGTCATACCTTCTCTTTGTAGACTCGTAGGCATGTTGTAATTCCCATTGCAATTCCCATTGCCCCGGTCATCCCTGCAGCTTTGACGCTGTCCTTGATCCTGAGCGGGGCCATGGGAATCAACATGATGCAGCTGCAAGACGTCATGGACAAACGTGCCTTGAATGGTGCGGGATAGCTGGGATAGCACCAATTCAATTTGCTTCCAAATCTGTGTGTTAATTTTGTTATGATGATCCCATGTGATCACCCAAGGAATCTACATGATCCGTGAGATCATGAAGGGCATCCGAATTGTGAAGTGTTACGCTTGGGAAGCTGCTATGGAGGCACGGCCTCCTGCGACTTTCTTCTGCTTTTTCCTGGCCAGTGCTTGTTAGGAAGCGCATTTGCTTTTGCTAGCATGTCAGATATTAGGACCTTCAAGTCACCCAAGATTTTTTGAGCATTGGCGTTGTGCTCTCTCTTTTTTCCAGCAAAAAATATTTGCGTGTGTTTGCGTTTCCCACAGCGTGCAACCTGCGGGATGTTGGGATGCTGTTCATAGGGAATAGGAAAGGCTCGACATTTTGAAGCCCGTGCCTCAACAAAGTAGGTAAGCACTGTAAGCACCCTTGATCCCTAGCATTTTGCCAAGCTGTACATGAAGCACACGGACTAACTTTCGCTCCAAAGACGTTGTTAGGGCACTTTATCAGTGATATCGATGCAGGAACAGATCAAGAAACTCCGCACACGGGAGTTGACCTTCTTGAACCTCTACTTCAAACTTTGCTTCCTGGCTGCACTGGGAATCTAGAAACACTTGTTTCCGACCTGTTTCTTTGATGGCCAAGCTCACAGGGCTCAATAAAGCATGTTCATGTTGGATGATGCAACAAATCTGAAACTGTGCAAAAATCGAGCTTGGAGATCAGGTAGCAACTTTGTGGCGCTTTTCAACATCTTCCCCAGGCGCTTGTTCCAGATTTCAGCGACATGCTGTAGTTTGGTAGGCCTGCGGATGAAAAGGATGATGTTGATGCCGATTGGGAAGCAGATCAAATGGAAAGCAGATCAACGCGCGAAAAACCACACAAATTCAACCTCCCTCTCTCTCACTCTCTATGCCATGACATGTTGATTCTATGTTTTTTTACATATGCGTTCTTGGTCTTATCGCAGTATCCCTGGAGCGCCTTTAGCTGCCCCCAACTGTCCAGGGTGTTGACAGCTGCTGGGCTTTACGGCTTTATCCGCCTGTGACCTGACTGAAGAATGGAGCCTCAGCGACCTGATCCAGTCACATCCAGTCAAAGATATGAGTGGTCAAAATGGGGTACGGTATGGTATACTCCCCAAAATAGGAACATCAATGGGGAACATCAATGGGGAACATGATGATAAAATATGATAAAATGATAAAACATCCAGTTTGGCATCCGATTTTCAAATGTGGCATGGGCTGTGAGGTATGGTCGCCATGACTTGGCCTCCATTTTTGCCTGCCTTCAAATCTTGGCATCTCTGCGGTACCTGGGCAGACTTGGCGTAGCCTCGACTTTTTTGACAGCGCCCGCAGCGCTGGAAGTAACCTGGAAGTAGCAGGAAAAAGAGCATTGCATCCCTAGCAGCAACAACGCAGCATTGCGGTAGCATTCTCCACTCAGGCAGGAGAGCTCTATCCTCTCTGGTGGATTGCAGAGACTAGTGACAATTCGCATCAGTGCAGCCAGATGCTTAGTCATCGAACGGGTTTATTTTGGACATGATCTGTGTGACTCGCTCCTGCGTTGCCTGAGGCCCGCATTGAGAACTTTCTTCACATGGAAGAAGCACCAGTGTTGGCAGGAGTGGCTGGGTGGCTGAATTGCTCGAAGTCGGCAAAGGTCAATTGACAGGATGCCGTTACTGCTGGTGGCGGTGGTGGTGGTGATGAACCAGCAACAGTGCATTGGATCATCGCAACACACCCGGATGCAATGCGCAGGAATCAGCGAGCCAAGCTGGGCGGAGATTTGGCCAAAGACATCCAGCCTCAATCTTAGCAAGCTAAACAGACCAGTGATACATCTATGGCGTTTGGCAAACTGGACCTATGGCATACCTATGTATGGCTTACACTGCTGGCACATATATAATATAGCAGTCATCATGTATTTGAGGATGTGTCCACTATGTCTAGTTAGCCTAGTTGACATGACAGAAAGTTGTTCCTTATGACATCGCCGCAGATGTCTCCTTTGATGCTGTCGACTTGAAGGCTATCATTGTCCGCATGACTTTCGCAGGTGCGCCTAGAAGCTTCAAGTTGAAGGGCAGCTTCAAATGGAGCCGTGAAGTTGGCTCACCCACAGCACCTTGGTTGCCAAGAGAGTTCTTCGGGAGTAGTAACGGGTCATGACAGGTCCATCTCAAGTTGATCTCAAAAGGTGGAACTGTGGGGATGTCTTTGGATGTCTTTGAGGCTGACTGTTTTTTTCCCTTAATCCCCTACTTATTTGTTGCACTGGGATTGCAAGACCTGTAGCCACTGCGCTTTGCGATTGGTAGATGCTGTGCGTAGAGAAGGGTTCAGTAGGAAGGTTTGGCGCGACACGCGGCATCGAGGTCCTTCACGACCTGGATTTGGAGGTGAAGCCTGGGGTCTCTTGGCTGCGCAAATCGTGGTTTTGATGTTGGGAGATTGTTGGGAGAACTTTGTGGCTTCGCCAGCCTGCCAGCTTTGCATATGTTTTGAGTATTCTACGATCTTGGGTCTTGTTATGTCTTGTTTGGCTCTTCATCGACTGAAAGATATCGTGGATGGTCCCATGGTCCCAACTTCCAATGTATCGAATGTCTTGCGGAAGTTGCCTCAGGAGCTGGTGGCCATCTGTGGCTCAGTGGGCTCCGGGCGGCTGGGTGGAAAATAACAACGGATCACGACCACAACCGACGATTCGTGTATCGTGACCTTTCAGAAAAGAAATCGCGGAAAAGTGGTTGAAACATGTTAGTTCCTGGTTGAAACATGTTGAAACCACAGGAAACCTTTCTACATCTGATTTTTCCATATTTTTCTAGTGCCAGCTTCCATAAAGCGCGCTCAGGAAGAGCACACTCCTTGAAGCCGCTTTGGGTGAACTGTATCCGGTAGAGGCCCTTGGCTCAGTGCCTGATAGAATACGGAGAAAGACTACTGTGAGTGAGCCTGGAAAGACCCAAGCCGCGCCTTCAAACTTGATGTTGAGAAATCACGTAGAGTTGCCGCAGAGGATAATTTGTTTTCTGGGTTTAGTGGACAGTTGTTTTACCAAAGTGTCTTACATTGGGCTTGTGACCCCGGAAAGGCGGGGCAACTGAAACGGTGCTCAAATAGAATGGAATACCAATACCAATATTTTCAGCAATGCTTAGCGAGGGTGAGAACGTGTTGAATTAAAGACATAGCAGAAACTTGCCTTTTTTTGCAAGCCCTGTTGTGGCAGTGTGGCAAAAAGAGCGTTCAACCAAACATTCAACCAGTTTGCATAGAGGCATAGATGGATTCGGCACTTGACGCAGTGATGTCCAGGCTGAGAATGCCTTCCTGTCAAGACCATTTGTGTGTGGATACTGCTTGGCACCTAGAGTGGTTGGGGGTTGGGATGGGCTGGGTGCCGCAAGGGCACCACCCTGCAGTATTTTTGCCTCCTGATGGGTCCTGATAGATGCAGCTTTCGTCCCTCGACCCAGGCGCTCAAGTTCCGCACATAGCGGAGGGAACCATTCGAGAAAACATCATCTTTGGCGCTCCCTTCGACGAGGTGTGCCAAAAGGGAAGTGTTGTTCTACAGATCCATTATAAACATAAAGATAATAACATATAAATCTAAATATAAATGCATAGCTGTATATATATATATACCCACTACATATATATATATACACATCCATCCGTCTATCTATAGTCATCCTAGTTATGACCGTTCCCTTTGAATTTTTGGGAGTCCTCGACACCTTTCTCGCTGTAGTCCTTAGTGCTTCAGCACGATAGCCCACTGACATCAGTGTCAAATTCGATTTCTACTCGTCCGAATGGCTCCGAATATTGGGAGTGTGGATGTGATTGAAAAACAGCCACTCATCACTTGCATTGTCATTCAAGTCATTCAGGGCATCTTATTGGAAATGGGCTTGTAGAAGCCAACCCGTTAAGCAATGTTTTTAAAGGGGAGGTGCAATCTTTTACTGTACCCTGTTCAGGCACGCTACTGGAAGGCAATTTCCGCATCAGGGTTGGAGAGCGACCTGAAATTGCTGCCAGGTGCCATAGGGGATGCTTTGGGTTGCTTTGAGTTCGATTCGCCTATGCTTTGGGCAAACCTTTCAAGGGCAGACTGCCATGAGTCCGTTGACGCCTTTTTGAGCTGCATACTCAGAATCGCATCAGTGTTTCAAGCAGGTACATGATATCATGCGTGATGCCATAGCAGGCATTGGTTCAGGTCCATGTCACCCATTTTCAAACCGAATCCATTTCATATATGTTATGAATTGTCATGATCACTCCCAATTTCATCCAATTGTCAGTAGTTCTATCAGTTCTATCCCCATCTTTCAATGGTTGTACTGGACATCCCGGTGCCCCAATCAATCCAGCCACAGGTGGAGATGGCGCCTTCATCGGTGCCCGGGGCATCAGCCTGTCGGGTGGACAGAAAGCCCGAGTGGCGCTGGCACGCGCGGCGTACAACCCCAAAGCTGTTTCTTGGAGCACAGCTAGGAGCACAGCTACGCCATGGTTTGCCATGCCATGTTCTTTCTCTCCTCCAAAGTCTGGAGGAATGGGAGGGATAGAGTGCTGTAAGGGGGATGACATTTTGATATATTTTGATGGGATGCAGGGGTTATCAAGTTGAGACATGCCCATGAAATATGGAAGAAGACAAGCTGCGTGAAAGCTCCACAGTGCCTGAAACAGCACTGTTCACTTTGGTGGTGACCGCCCACTTTCCATCTTTTTTCTTTCACAAAATGACTGCTGGTTGCATCTCAGGAACTCTTGCTGTTGGATGTGCCTTTGCTGCAGCATTCCGGGCTTGCGTTGACAGGATCTAATGCAAGGCGCAGAAGATCGAATGCCCAGTTCCAATTCCAATTTGGAATGACGGGGAATGCACTGCACTTTGGTGACAAGCCAGGAAATAGTCACGAGATGTCACGAGTATCAATCTCACAGCTGAGACACTGAAGATTCCAAGGATCCTTTTGGCTCTGTGGACGCCCCAACCGCTGCATGGATCTTGGAGGTCTGGGATGTCCCTGCGCACAGCAAAAAGTTGCCTTGCACGTGGCATGTTGCCCCACAGGAGCTTCTGTGTGGCCCAATGGTGCAGAACCGTGCTCGAATTGTGGTGTTGCAGCCCGAGAGTGCCTCTTGGAGCAGGCCATTCATGGGGTGAGATGAGACAATACTTCTCTTTCCAATCAAATTAGAGACCAAAGTTTACAAGTACACACTGCTAGCTGCCCACCTGAAGGACAGCCAAATGGATTGCATGGGATAACTGGGAAACATGTGGATAGGATGCCTACAGAAAGGAAACAAAGCAGGCAAGGCCGCATAAATGGAATGGGTGCGGAATCGAAACAAAACTGGACTGATCAGCCAATGGCTGAGGGCACCATTTTAAAGGTAAGATATGTAAATTGATTGAAGCTGATGGCTTGACAGCTCATCAATACATAGGCAATTGATGTCGGTTTTCAGGACCCAAGTGGTCACTCCAAGTCACACCGAGGAGCGGCTTCACAAGTTCGACAGGGTTTACGTGTCTTGGCACAGGTCACAGCTGATGGAAAGCTTCCATGGCGCAAGTGGCCGAAGCCTTCCAAGGTGATTTCTGATGGACGCATTGTCACCAGTGGAACTCCTTCAGAGGCACCGAGCTTTGCAGGGAAGTTATCGGGTATGGCCGGTATGGCCGATATGGACATAGTTGGGAGGGACGCAGTTGATTCGTGGTGCAGATGTATGCACTAGCTATGGACGAACAACTCAATGCCACCACAGCCACCCATCCAGCATTCCGAAAAGTGACTTCTCACTTCTTCAAAAAGTTGTTGGTTCTGCACAGGTCTCCCCTGCATCTTGACCCAAGCCGAACAAGTACTTGCTGCAGAGCAGACGTCGTGGAAGGGTATATTGCTGTAGGATGTTCTGTGTGGAATCAACATGCTTGACCAACACGACCCCCTCATGTCCTACATGTCCTACGTAGCAGTGGTTGCGCTTGAATTCCCACAGGTAGCTGAATGTGTTCGAGCCTCAGTCTGGAGGCAGCCAGCTTTAGGGCAGTGTCCCATAGTGTCCTGGAATCAAGGGATTTTGTTTGTTGGAATCAGCACAGACCCACACCGCCCATTCTTAAGGGAAAGCCCGTGGGTTGGAGCTCGAAACAGCTCAGGAAGAGTTCAAGCACTTGCAAAGAAGCTGTGCGGCTGAGGACCCAGCTTCCATTCAGCCTCATGGCCCATGGCCTTATCTTTTTATGCTTCCACACCATGAATGCGATGCACGATTCACATGATAGCTACAGGATCATCACAGGATGTTGAACAACGATGCAAAAGATCAATAGAGATTGCGTGTCGTTTTACTTGATGCAGCATTCTGGCCCAGTTATATAAAGCGGCGCGAAACTCACGGGCTGTTGGCGAGCAGTTCAGATGTCCTGCTTTGCTGGATTGGTTTCCTCTCCCTCACCCACCGGCTACCAAGATCGCGGCAAGGGCCGCGGACGTGTCTATGAGAACATCACCGAAACAGTGGGGAACACTCCGTGTGTGAAGATTTCGGATGCCATTTGCCCAAAGGGTCGCACCATCTATGCCACTTGGATCCACTTAATTAATTGCTGGCCACTCTGATAATCTTCTTACGGATGCCACTAAGGCAGTGGTTCGCTATTTCCAGTTGACCGAAACAGCACCTGCTAGGTGTGACAACATGAGACCCCAATGGTAGGAGGTCCTGGTCCCAAGTCCTCTTGGGATCACGATCACCGCACGAGGCCAAGTTGGAGTATTTCAACCCTTTGTCCAGCGTGAAGGATCGCTTGGCCTGCGCCATCATCGAGGATGCTGAGAAGACTGGCAAGTTGAAGCCGGGAGACACCGTGATTGAGGCCACCAGCGGCAACACCGGCATCGCTGTGGCCATGCTGTGCGCGCAGAGGGGCTACAAGTGTGTCACTGGGTCATGACTTATTCAAGGTGTCACAAGGTGTCACAAGGTGTCACTAGGCATGGGGTTTAATTAATAGAAAATAAGGCATCAAAAAATAAATATTCAAGGCATCAATTAAAAAATGTTTAAGGGATCAACAATCAAAAAGTATTTTTCCTGCGCTGGTGCAGTTTTTTTGGGCCTTTTATGCCAATTTCAAATCTTGTGGTCTTTGAATCTCCCGGTCCTCCAGTCCTCTCCTTGGTCCCCTGGTCCCTTGGTCCTCTGGTTGGTCCCTTGGTCCTCCGGTTCCTTGGTCCTCTGGTCTTCTGGTCCCTTGGCTTTCCGTCCTTTGGTGACTCTAGTGCCTTAAATCATTTTGAAGATAACCCTTAATTCAACCAACCGTAAAAAACCCTAAATCAGCCTAAATAATCCCTAAACCACCCCCCAAGCCAAAGTAAGTCTTAAACGAACCCTAAACCAACCCTCAACCAGCCCTAAACTAACCCTAAATAAACCCCAAACGAAACCTAAACAAACCTTAAATAAGTTGGAAGCGAAACCAAAATCAACTTTAAACCAATCGCAAATAATCCCCAAACCAACCCCAAATAAAGCCTAAGCCATCCCTAAGAAACCATAAACCAACCGCAAATAAACCCTAAAGAATACTTATCAAACAAACACGAACCAACCCTAAATAAATCCTAAGCAAAATTTCTTTCTCCACAAACCAACCCTACATAAATCCCAAACCAACCCTGAACCAACCAGAAAGAAACCACTGAACCAACCATTAAAAAACCGGAAACAAGACCTACGCAGACTTTAAACCAACTCAAAATAATCCCCAAGCCAACCCCTAAAGAAACCCTCAACCAACCCTAAATAATACCTAAACCAACCATGAACCAATCCCACATACATCCTGAATCAACCCTAAATAAACTTTGAGCAGCATCTACACAAATCTCAAAACCAACCCTAAACAAACCCTAAAACCAACCCTAAATATACACTAAACAAATCCTGAACCAACCCTAAATAAACAAAAGACAAACCTTCAATAGAACCAAACGAAACCTAAACCACAAAGTCTTGAACGAAATCAAAATAAACCCTAAACCAACCCTACATAAACCCCAAAAATCTTTTAATAATTTTCAATAAGACTTGAACGAAACCTAAATAAACCTTTTACCAACCCTGAACACTAAACTAACCCTAAACCAACCTAAGTCAACCGTAGTTAGACTCTAAACCAACTTGAAATAGACCTCAAACCAAGCCTAAATCAACCCTAAACCAAACATAAACAAACTTTAAACAACGTAAGTTTCAAAGCAAGCATCGAAAACAAAAGGTTCGAACTCCAAAGTGTTGCAGATGCTGTCGAAACGGCAGCATCGAGCCCTGCGAATGCTCGATTTCCAGGTCCAATGTCCTGCAAAAACCTTACGGGCGAGAGGCTCCACTTCCAAAACGATGCAAATACCACAGAAATGCTTGGTTTTGTCTCCAAACTGTTGCAAGGGCCATATAAAACAAGGGATTCCAGGTGTTTTGTTTTTTTTGGGGGGATGCCTTAGATATTTATTTTTTGACCCCCACGGGAATATTTTTTGGATGCCTTAAATATATTATTTTTTGATCCCTCACCCTTGGTCACTATGCTTCTCTCCAAGTATTGGTGGCGGGGAAAAGGAGGAAGCTGGGAAGCCCCTTGGGGTCTGGCACCCAAAGATGGCAAGTTTGAGGTGATCACCATGGCTGAGCCCTTCTCCATCGAGCGCCGCAAGCTCATGCGATTTATGGGCGCCAAGGTGGGCCGCAGTGATGTTGAGACCGTTCCCAGAAGTTTAGGCCATTCAGTTTAGTCTATGAGGGGATCAAAGCCACTCTCTGGGCATTTCTGGACAGTGTATATCTGGAACCAGGGCTGGTTTATTTTCATGTGAATTGGATGGTTTTGGGCCAGGTGATCATCACCCCAAAGGCCGGCAAAGGCAGCGGCATGGTGGCGAAAGCCAAGGAGTTGGCTGAGAAGCACGGCTGGTTTCCTGGCAGATTTGAAATTGATACCCGGCGCTGGTACTGTACCTGGTATAAACCGCGGTTCGTTGGGTTTGAAGGTTTGTTGGGGTGCTGCCCAGGATTGTACTATATTGGTTATGTTACCTGCATCCTGTTTTAGCGCCTCGCATCTCGCATGGTAACCTTCCCATGGGAATAATTTTTGGCCGCAGTTTTCGGCCAGGTTTTTGTGCCGCCAGTTCGAGAACGAAGCCAACGTGAAGTTTCACTATGACACAACTGGCCAGGAGAGAACCGAGAGCATGTGTCCGCTCGACTAGCAACAAAATGAATCGGTGTTCTTGAGCATTGTAGTGAGGCATAGTTCTGAGTGTATGTTCAAATCATCAAGAGTTTCGTGTCACAATTTTCCCAGGAGATCTTGAACGACTTTGAGGGCATGAAGTTGGATTATTACGTCCTGGGCTACGGCACGGGTGGCACCTTTGCCGGTGCTGGGAAGGCGTTGAAGGAGAAACGTCCGGGCATCAAGATCTGCCTGGGCGAGCCGGCGGACGCTCCATTGGTCCAGTCGGGCACCAAGAGTGAACGCAACGATGACGGCAGCGCCACCGGATCCCACCCGGCCTTTAAGCCACACCCCATCCAGGGCTGGACACCGGACTTCATCCCATTCATTACGGAGAAGGGCATTGCAGCCACTGGCTATGATGAATATGTGCCGATCCCAGGTGATGCTGCCATTCAGATGAGCCAAATGTTGGCCAAGACCCAGGGAATCTTCACTGGAATTTCTGGAGGTGCCTCCATGTATGCCGCAGTTGAGATGGCCAAGAAGGCTCCAGAGGGGTCTGTTTTGGTGGCCATGTTGGCAGACACCGGTGAGCGATACCTGTCCACTCCTTTGTTCGCATCCATCAGTGCAGACATGAACGAGGAGGAGCTGGAGATCTCCAAGTCTACTCCAAGCTTCCAGCTCTAAGCCACGGCCACGAGACTCGTTGAAGCAACTCCTGCGGATTGGAGGAACTTTTGGGCAACTCCCAGCGAGTGCCATTTTGTTTTTCTTGACTGTGGCCACAGGGGCCTACAGCTGCGAGAACTTCAAGTTTTTAGCTATGCAGAAAAGGGGTGCGACAGCGGATGTCATGTTGTTTCGCTTTGTTTGATTTGTTTGCACATTCTGTTCGTCGCTGGTTGCTTGTGATTTGGCCATGGATCAATACTGTACCTATAGAAATTATATAGAAATTATATAGAAATTATATTGACAATTGAAGGCATACCTGTTTTTAAGTGGATCGGATGAATATCGGATGAATATCGGATGAATCTCCGTAAATCCAAGCGATTTCGACGCCAGGAGTCGGTGGAGGTTACGCCCGTGGGCACCCAGGATGGCAAGGAGCAACGCCCTGCCGCCATCAAGAGCCAGCCGGTCCCAGCGACAACGTTGCGAGAGAGCCACTGGGGCTGCATGGAAGCCATGGATTTGCCAAGCATGATATTGGGATGTTGGGGTTTGTTGAGGTTTGTTAGGCTACTCTGCACCACACAGTTCATGTACCATTATAAATTATGGATTATAATGGATTATATAATTATGGATAGTTGCAATTTTCGACCATTTGCGTGCCAGGTTGTAGTTTGCCACATGGGACACCTTTAGGTGCGCACGCGCCAAGGCGAAGCCGAAGGCCGACCCACTTGGGACATGACGATGAAATATGCTGCCATCGGTAAGTGGCGGATGCCTGGCGGAGCCGAGTGCCAGGCTTGCCAGACTTGCCATGTGGGGCTTTACCTGGGTTATCTTGGTTTAAAAATCGGCGTTTGTCTCAAAGATCTCAAAGAGCCAAGGAACTTGGGAAATTCGATGATTTTCTTTTCCCTGGTGCTGTTCCTCTACTTGCTTCTTGGATTTCTTGGCACGAGAGTCCAAAGTCAGAGATGGCGATGGATCTTTTTTGGTCGACGGGTTCCGACGGGTTCCGATGAGGCTGTGTGACCTTTCGCTGGCCAATTGCACCAATGCATTGGCAATTGACCCTGATGTAGCATCTTGGCGGAGAACTTGGTGGAAAACTTCCGCATCTCACAGCGTAAGTGCTCTTGAGTTGGAGGTTCCTAGACATTTTTTGATCCGTTTGCTATTGTTTCCTTGTTCTGCCATGCTTTGTGGAGCAAGAGGGACACAACTGAGGCCACTGGTGGGTACTTTAGTGGCTATTTGTCCGCCCCTGAGTTTTTTGCGCAATGAGACGCTCCTATTGGGAAGCGAAATGAAAAGAAGAACGAGTTTCTACTCTACATCTAAAAATCTTCATCTCAATGGCAGGTTTTGGCTGGCCATGGGTACGATTTCTCTCTTCATTGGATGGTATTTTGGAGCAGGCTCTGGCTGTGGAGATTTTAGAGGAGGGTCAAAGAGGAAAGGAATCTCACACCTGATGATCCCTACATGATGTGGAGAAAGAGACGCACGCGCACACACACACAAACATCCCATTTATGATTCCAATCGCAATCATTTTCACGTTTTTATCCATACCCATACATATATGCACACATACTCACATATGCATAGGCACATACAGACATACAGACACACAGACATAACATTACATACATTGCATGACATTACATAACAATACATAATAATACATGATTACACTACACTACATTACACAAGAGGACATTACATTACATGATGTTGCATTGTATTGCATTGCATTGCATTGCATTGCAGACACATGCACACACACAATATCAATATCAATATCTGTATGTGTACCTACATATTAATATATATACATATTATATGTATAATTTGTGCCTGCACTGTGTTGGGATCACTGATCACTGGATCACTGGATCGGCCAGCCTTCACCCTGCGGATCTCGGCCAAAATCCACAGTGATGTGATCAAACGACTCCTCCATGCTCCCATTGCCACTCCGCCGCAGCCCAGGTTTTTTCTTGGTTTATCTCAGCAAAAGATGGAGTTAAAAGATGTTAAAAGTACTTTTAAACACCATTCAACACCTGAGAAATGGATAAGAGCAGGGATGACAAACACATTTGAAGATTTACAGAGCCAGCAACAAAGGGGCAGTCCCCAAATGAGGGTTTCCAAGCCCTGATTTGATGGTCCATCCCTGCGGCTTTTGGGATGCCCAACAGCATCCAACAGCCATGATTGCACCCTCAGGATCGGTTCTTTGACAAACACCCTGTGGGTCGTATCATGAACCGACTGACCATGGACATGGCCACCATTGACCTCTACTTGTTCATGAAGATATCTGGAAGCATCATGATCCTCTTCCAGAAGCTTCGCTGAATTTTGAGCTTTGAGATTGTCAAGTGTAAGGGATTTTCTTGAATGAGGAGGTTTTGAGCCTGCGCATTCATCATGCTGTATTAAATTCTGATGCAAATGCTGAGTCTTGTTTCCTTTCACATTGATGCATTCCCATGTTGCTTTTGCTGAGCCTGCCAAGGACGATGGTTCCTTTGGCATACGTTCACTCCATTATGCCACTGTCGATGACAGCCTTGTCTATCCCTTTCTATTACGTGGTGGCGACATTGTACCTCAGATACCAGAACACCACTGTGCCGCTGCGCTACTGCTTCAAGACCCAGTCTTCTCGAACTCAAAGCTATTTATCAGATGTTCCTCGGTCGCACGGCATGTCGCACTGCTATTTGGTGATGTTCGCTGATGTTCCCTGATGTTCCCCGTGCATGGAACATCCCTGTCAGGTGATGACGAATACGGTGGTGGTGCGCGGCTTCGGAGAGCAGAAACGGCTCACCGCGGAGTATGCAGTCGGGGCCTTGGACTCCGTGGTTTGCAGAACTTATGTGGGTTTGTCTGAAAAGAGGCTACCCGCAGTTCCAGTGGATCATCATGATTTTCCATGATTTTCCCATATCATCCCCATTAAATGGCAATTGAGGAGTAAACCCCAATTTCGGGCACCCCCATGTGGCCACTGCGAAAAGGTCGCCATTGATTGCTCCTCGAAGGCCGGAACTGTGTGGTGCCCATTGCAGCTTCGTTTCAGCAATCGCTGAATTGCCAGGCAGACCTCACAGATGATCGGCTCATGAAACGTTGGTTGTGCAATCGCGTGAATTACCTCTGGACTTTCTACAATTCAGAGTCTTGGCCCATCTTGGCTCAATGGATCGATGTCTTGGTGGTCCTTCCACAGCCTCTGCATCTTGAGATAGATGAGAGGGGACGGCGCTTGACCTACAAACCTTGGGTTTCAATCTTTCCAACTCTGTGTTCCTCATTCCTCACCCATGGCCAAGTATGATCTGAACCCCGGGAAAGTCATTTCCGAGGTGGCATATATTGCTGGTTTGTACAACTGCGTTTGGATGGGCCCTGGCACCCTGGGAATCGCTCTCACCAACCTCCTGCTGCTTGAGATTCTTGCTTGCACAGGGGCCAGAGAAAGGGAGGCTAGTGAGCTTTTTGGCAAGCGAGTGGGTAGTGGATGAAAGCTTATGACTTGAAACTTATAGCTGTTCGGCCCAGTCGCGCCACTCATCAAGCTGTAGCTGTTTAGCTGCCCAGGTCCATGATCGAGCCCAGCCTGGACATGATGGCGGGTGCCCTCTTTGAGCTCATTGCTTTGGCGCGTGTGGACGAGTACACAGAGGCAGGGTGGAGGTCAGAGACTTCCTCCCAACATCTTAAAGCACAGGTTGACAGGTCGTGGCTTTCCAAGCAATTGGCGCAACTTGACTCTGCTGTGCACCCCCCCTTTCAGGCCTACCCCCAAATTGTTGGGAGGGCATTTCTATTCATTTCTGCCAAAAAATGTCAGAGGTTGCCCCATTTCCTCAGCCCAGCGCCGGTCCAGGTTTGCCAAGAGCAAGCTATGAGGCGCGTGGAGGACTTCCACTGATCCAATGAGCTTCATGGAACGTGTTTCTGGTTATGTAGACAATGTAGACTGTTGATGACTGTTGATGACTGTTGGACTTTATGGTTCAACGTGGTTCAACTTTATTGATGCTACTTGTTGCAAGTTGTGCGACTTATCCTCTCATAAACTGAGTCTCCCAACACCTCCTTGGTATTGACTCATTGGCATGGAGTCCAAATTAGCAAAGTAGCATTCTTTTCGAATTCTTGTCGTTACGAGGGCACAGCAGCGCGCGGATTTAAGACTTCGGCAGGACACAAACATTCGGAACCATTCAGTGCGATATTTGAGGAAAGAGCAAGCAAGCCTGACCATGAAAGCAACTTGATTGCACACCACGATTTTGAAAAAATGCGTTTGTTGAAGCGGTCACCTGCTGATGCTTTTGAACTGCAATGTTGAGGTGGTGGGAGAAGAGGTCCAAGTCTTTGCGAAGCTTGGCAGAAGGCAGATGTCAGCAGCTTTGGGTTCAGCAGCTCAGCTCGCACTGAGGAATGGGCATCAGCTGTTGCAGTCCAGAGATGATGGTCGAGCTTTGGTGCTGGCCAATCGCAGTGACTACATGGCACGGTTTCAGGACGGCTGCGAAGCATTGCATTTAAAGGATCTTACAGGCCCAAGTGTTTAGCAATGTCAAGTTTCTAATTGAGACGCACGGTCTGTCAACGGTGTTGAATTTAGCCGTTTTCGGAATGCTGCTTTGCAAATATTGAAGTTCCGCGGCTGAATGCTCGAACGTGCTCAAACAAGAGAACACATATGCACATCAGGATGGAACGAAGCACGGAAAGCTTTAATCAAATTGGATTCATGTTTGCAGCACAAAACACGCCACCAACAACAGCAGGCAAAGCAGAGATGGAAAAAAAAACTATAATCTGGCCAAGACAGCAATCCCACAGCCTGGCTTTGGCACCATACCTTTGCATTTGCAAACCTTCCTTGTAATATCTTTGCACCGGGGGCTTATGGGTGCATATTCCCAGGATGCTGGGTGCTTGGCGGTCCTGCGAGAGGTTGTGGGAAGGGGTCCATCAGATGATGCGCTGGTCTCTGCATTGAGACGGTCAGGTGGGGATCTGGCCGCAGCAGCGAACATCATCCTGGATGCGCCTGCTGTCAAAGAATCGCGGCCTCCGGCCTTTGCATTGAAGCCATTTTCAGGCTCCACCATCATGCTGGATGACGATGGTGAAGGTGTAGCCTCCAAGCCCGCGTCGCCAGTTCCTGTCCCTGCCACACCTGCGCCTGCTGCAACCCCAGCTCCGCCGTCTGGCAATGCAGCGGGCGGCGCAGCGCCCGGCAGTTTCCTCAAGATGATGAAGGTGAAACAGGAGGAGCCCGAGCGGCCCAAGAAGAAAGCACGAACCTCGCAGGGACCAAAATCAGAGCCATCAATTTCCAAGACCAAACGTAGCTGCAACGTGGAGTGGGCCTTGAATCTGGGTTCCTTGGAGGTGATGGCCTACAGCACCATGAAGCTGGAGGGAGGCGCCAGTTTCCAAGGAGAAGATGGAACTATGGGGCCACTGCTTCGCAGCGGTGGGCGCTTGGAATTGAAGTGGGCAGTGGAAACCAAGAAGGGCAGGCCGGGAGTAGGAATGGGAAAGGAGACTGGTCAAGTCCATTTCGAAGTGAACGGCAAGACTGTTGGGAAGTTTCCAAGCTGGACCTCCAAGGCGCTAGTGCCTTTGCTTGCAAGGAAGTTGATTGATGCAGAGGCAGTGGTGGGGAAAGACCCACCTCGGGCCCTGGATTTGGGAACCAACATCCCAGTCTTGGTTTACATCTCCTTGAGGTCTTCAGCCTTGCGCACCCCTGGTCAAATGCAAAGTCTTGGCAACCAGGAAGGCGCCGGAAAGAGTAAAGCCAAAGGGCAAAAAGCCGTGCAGAAAGCAGAAGATGATCGAGAAGTGCAGCGCAAAGCAACCAGCATGTTGCTTGAAAAGTTGCAGTTGAATCGTCCTCGCAAAGCTGTTATGGATGATGTGCCAGAAGGCACCAGTGAAAAGACCTCAAGAGAAAGCACAGGCAACAATGCTGGGAATAGCAACCCAATGGCAGAGGAGGATGCCGAAGAAGACGTCGAAATGTCCACTGCTGCAGCTGCTCAGCTGGGACGTCAGGACCACTTGGAGAGACACCATCTGCCAGGCATCCTGCTGCCTGATGGAGTCTTTGAGACGACGCTGCGTCCCTACCAGGCGCAGGCAGTGTATTGGATGTGGCAGCGGGAAAATCCAACTTCAACCCTGCCATCCCATTTCAAGAGGTCAGGTCTGCATGATTCCAGCACTGCTGCGACATGCAGTACGAGGGCAGCACCATCTTCGCCAAAAACATCAGAACGACAACTTCACCCCATGTGGGATGAATACGAGCTTCCAGAAGTGACTGGCCCATTGCCCAGCAGCAGTGGCCGGGAGTCGGCACGTTTCCTTTATTATCATAGGACCACCGGTGCCTTATCCTTAGACTTCCCGGATGCTGCTCTCGCTCATTGCCGTGGAGGCATCTTGGCAGATGACATGGGCTTGGGTAAGACAGTGATGTGCCTCGCTTTGATGGCGTTGGATTTGGGAGACCTTCCCACAGCCAGATCCGCAGCTCCTGAGCTTCGGGCCCTAGAAGAAGCTGAGCCATTCAAATCCAAGGGCCTATTTCCAGGCCAGCAGGGCCAAGACGATGGTGTGGGCGGGGTATTGGTGGTAGCACCCTTGTCGCTGATTAGGCAGTGGCAATCTGAAGCGCAGAAACATTTCAGCAGCTCATCCTGTCCCAGCCTCTACGAGTTTCATGGATCAGCTCGAAAGATTTCGACTGAGGAGCTCAGAAACTATGGCATCGTAATGACCACCTACAACACCTTGGCCTCCCAGAACGATGACTCGCCACTCTTCCAACTGTACTGGAGAAGGATCATTTTGGACGAGGCTCATGCTATCAAGAATCGATGCAGTCGACAGGCGCAAGCTGCTTTTCAGCTCAGAGGATTCTGCCGGTGGTGTGTCACAGGCACTCCTTTGCAAAACAGCGTCGAGGACGGGGAATTGATGTTGGACCATCATTTTGGACCTTCATGTTGACATATGTTGACACTCTTCGCCTGTCAGACATTTCCATGGGCTACTTAATCACTAAGAGCAGCAATTTTCCATTTAAATTGATTTCATATATATATAATATAGATTCCATTGATTTTCCTGCCTGGTTTTGCTGTCAACAGTCATAAGTCCAGATCAATCTGCATTGTACACCAAGGAGTCCCTCTTTCCCACACATGACTTTGTGAGTGATTGTCCTTTATTGTCCTTCATGTTCTGCTTGTTCGTGAGCTCATTTGCAGATAGGCTAGGTGCGCTGGATAGGCTTGATGACCATGTTGTCCCTTCAGTGTTTTAAAATTGTGGGTTTGCAGCAGCTATCCACACAATGGTTTAGCCAAACGCATCTCGCATCTCGCCATACATGTTAAAGAGGTATAGAGGTATGGATCAGTTGGTCACCTGTATCCCTGTTTCAAAGGTAAAGCAGCTGTGCGGGAGTTTTTGCCTCCCTCTGGGAATGCAGGGGCAAGCAGAGTCTCTGACTGCTATACGATCAAAATTCCATGAGCCACACAATTGAAACACGCAAAACTTGACCGCACTGTTGCTTGTCAAGAGCTGGCCACCAGGCAACACAATCGTAAGGAGCGCAATGATCAAGAAGCACGAAGGCAGAGCACATGGAAACGTGATGGATGCTTACCATGTCTTGTCGTGATTTTCAGAAGATATGTTCCAGCTTCTGAGTAATTGTCCCCGGACAGACACGCAAGCATTGCAGGTCAATCGCAAACCGCACTAGCACAACAGAAGCCCACGCAGCAACAGCAATAGCAACAGCAACAGCAACAGCAACAAACAACAAACAACAAACAACAACCAACAACCAAAAAACAAAAACCAACAACAACGACGATGACGACGACAACAACAGCAAGAACAGCAACAAAAACAACAACACATGAGTTTTTTTTTGTCATGAGTTAGTTGATGTTGGTCGTGTTTGAACATGTTTAACACCCAAAGTTCAGAACTGTGAGGAGCTCTTTTCAGCCATTCGTTTCTTGCGTGTCGAGCCGTGGTGTGCCTGGCCGACCTGGCGTCAGTCGGTCTCCATTCCGCTGGACAAAGGGCGGCAGGGCGACTCTGAGGCCATGGCCGAAGCCCTGGACACGGCGCGGCGCATCGTGACGCCGCTGATCATCCGACGGACCAAAAGCACCGTGGATCCCAACACTGGAGAAGCCTTGCTGCGGCTACCAGCCAAACATGTCCATGTGCACCGTTTACAGCTGTCCCTGGCAGAACGCGATTTCTATGAGACACTATGGACCAAGGTGGGGATGTGGGGCTCCAGGGCACTTAGTGTGATTCCACCAGGCTGAGGATTATGGGCCAGGGTCAAACTACAGCCTTATACCATCTTACTTTTTGTAGTTTATTTTTACCAAAATTTCATCCATTGATCTATGGGTTTATCCATCCATCATTTATCTGTTTCATTTGAACTAACATCGCATAGCCTGAACAAAAGGTTCGGTTTTCCTGGGTCTTTGACAAAGAATGGGCCCCATGGAAATCAGCTTTTGAGATCTTTTGAGGCCAAGACGCAGTTTGACACCTTCGTCGCTGCTGGGGAGGTCTTGTCAAAATACACTCACATCTTGCAGTTGATCTTGAAGCTGCGGCAGGCCCTTTGTCATCCCTTCATGGTCTTTGCAAGGGAGAGCACCAAAGATACAGATCTGCAGGAGCTGGAGAAGAGATATTTGTTGGATGCTGGAGGCGATCAAGTCTCAGAAGCCTTTGCAAACCAGCTATGGGAGGAGATCAAAAATGGTCAGTTGAGTGATTGTGCCATCTGCTGTGATGCTCCTCAAGATCCCACTATGACGCCTTGCGGTCACATCTTTTGCCGTGAGTGCTGCTTTCAGATCATCCAGAAATTCAAGGGCGAGTGTCCGATTTGCAGACGTACTGGCATCAGCAAAAAGAACTTGACCGTGTTGCCCGGCGCTTCCCGCTTCCCCGCGCAGCTCATGGCTAAAGCCTCTGGTGGTTCTGGAAATTCGGCTGAGGCTTCGCACTACAGCACCAAGATGAAGGAGTTGATGAAGCTGTTGAAAACTGATATGGCGGAAGGACACCGGGCTGTTGTGTACAGCCAGTTCACTTCCTTCATGGATCTGATTGGCAGTGCCCTAGATGCTGAAGGCATTGATCAGAAGAGATTTGATGGATCCCTCAGCTTGGATCAGCGAGCTGCATGTGTAGCTTGGCTGGCCGAAGAAACACCAGGCCGCTCGGGGGCGAGAGTGCTCCTGGTGTCTTTGAAGGCCGGGGGCACTGGTTTAAACCTGGTGGCTGCCTCTAGGTTATACCTCATGGACCTTTGGTGGAACCCAGCTGTGGAGGAGCAAGCCATTCAAAGAGTGCACCGCATTGGACAGAAGCAGGAAGTGCACGTCTACAAATTCGTAGTGGAAGATAGCATTGATATCGATCTTCTGGAGTTGCATGGTGCCAAAGAAAGGCTGTTGGAAGATGCCCTGAGAGGGGGCAGACACAGTGAGACTGCGGGGAAGCTGACCATGGATGACCTGAAGCGTTTGTTCAATCCCTGTCGTTCCTCTTTACGCAACCTGAAGAACTCTGGTGCCGAGCTCAAAGCCGATCTGGAGCCAAGGGCCCGGGCCACTGATGTGGTCATCCCTGACGCTCCTTCGGAAGTTGCGTCGGCAGCACCAGGGGATGATGTTGCAGTGGAGTCAAGGATTGATGATCGGGAACTCCGGGGACCGGTCCAAGTTCAGAATGAGCAGATCCAGGAGCAACCTCTGGTGGCTTGTTGGGATGCTGCTGGGGACCTGCTTGAAGAGTCAAGCCACAGATCTGTAGAGACGGCTGTGCAAGATAGCTGGACCGCAGAAATGCCGCAGGATGTGGTTATGGCTGTAGCTGGAGATGAAGCAACAGCGACGTTTTCACCGGGGGATAACTTCGACTGTCCGAAGACACAGGAGCAGCCCCTCGTGGCAGCATGGGAAGCTGCTGGGGATCTGCTGGAGGGGGCCTCGAGGGACTTTGGTTTCGGTGAGGATGACATCTCGGATAGCGAACTCCTTGCAGCTTGCCATGCTGCCGAAGCTTATTTGGTGCAGAGTATGGAGGGGTAACGCGAGCTTGGCTCTTTCTAGCCATCGTAGATCCATCAACTGCACCGCAGCAACAAAAAAGGGCCGTTCAATGCCATTCAAATGAGCTTGTGCCAGCATGGTCTTTTGATTTCTTTCATGTTTTGAGATCCGGTGTCTGCCTGAACGTGCGGTATAGGACCCAGTGCCAGTGGATTACTTTTAGAGTTTTGGGGCCCAAACTGGTGAAACTGAACGCTATTTATTTGTCAGGAGCTCTGCTCAACTTGCTACGATTTGAGCCACGTGCCCAGCTTGCACAGCATCGTTGCAGCCAACGATGCCAGTGGCAATGCGTGGCTTGGCAAGAATGGAGCCATAGTAGCCCTTTGAGATGCACAGCACTGGTTGCTTTCAGGTTCTTTTATATATTTTATTGGTACTTCAGACTCATTCAGACTCATTCCGATTCTACATTTTGCATCTTTTTGCCAAATTTCTAGTTGCAACAGATGCATGCGGCATGCCTCAAATTGGCCTGCCAGAAATCGGTCTTTGAGGGTCAAGACTTCGCCACACCGCAGCTCCACAGGCTCAAAAGGCGTCGATCGTCTCAGTCTCCGGTGCGTTGCCAATTTATTTCGAGCAGAGCTCATGAAGTCCAGATCACAACTGATGTCCCCAAGGGTTGCAGCCCTGGTGCTGCTGTTGGGCTTCACGGGCTTCTACACTTTCGTCCTCGGCTCGCCACGGGCAAATCTTCCAAGGCAGGACCCAGAAGCTAGCGGAGTCAATGGAATCAACGGAGTCAAAGGAGAAGGAAATAGTAAAGATGCAGCCGATGCAATTGGCAAAAGCCAAACTTTGGCCCATTGTTTGGGCTTTGGTGCAGCCCTGTTGGCACTGGCCAAGAGCTTTGCGAAGGCAGTCCCTTTGCGAGGAAAGCGTGGCCAGGCGGTGAGGTCAACACCTTCAAGTGGCTTTGGAGGCCTTTGGAGGTCTGGACCCTTGTCATCAGGTGGCTCCAGTTTTCTTGGCTCATCCATGGCCGGATCAGTCACGGTGGCTGCGCCAACTGCGCCAAAGCGCGGTGCTCTGTCGTCCATGACCATGATGTTCGAACGTTTCAATGAGAAGGCCATCAAATCCGTGATGTTGGCACAGGAAGAATCGCGACGTCTCAATCACAACTTCGTGGATGTGGAGATGCTGCTGGTGGGCGTGATTGCTGAGAACTCCAGCATTGCTGCGAAGGTCATGAGAAAGATGGGGGTGCAGCTCAAGGATGTGAAAAGGATCATTCAAGAGCAATTGGGCCAAGGAGAGGGGCCTGTGAAGGTTGAAATTCCCTTCACTCCAGAAGCGAAGCAGATCCTTGAGAATTGCGTTGCAGAAGCGCAGAGCTTGAATTCCAATGCGATCGACACTGCGCACATTTTGCTAGCTCTTTGCAAGGACCCTTCAGGAAAGATTCAGAAGCTGGACAGTGCTTTAAGCCATAAGTTTTTGGTAGGGTTGCTTCAGTTACTTGTTTCATTTAATACATGTTTTCCGGAGAGTGTTCCACTTGGAAAAACCGAGTTGCCATTGTATATGCATTGCGGATGCTGAGGAAGTGCCTGGAGAAGCTCAATGTGGATGCGAAAAAGATCCCTGAGGAGATCATTAAGGAACTCCAGGACAAGGATGAAAAGGTGGCTGCTACTCAACAAGCCAAAGGAGGTCCAGGTGCGGGTCAAAACAATTCAAACCGTCCCAAAGTGTTGCAGTGTTTGTGGAAGGAAGGCTAGATTGGCTTTAGGTCTGCATGAGGGGATGTGCACATATATTATATTCAATATGCAGATGTTCGTTGCACACCTGCGCGTATGTCGTATGTGAACAGCATTTTGTTGGTCATAGATGGCCGTTGTCTGCTGGCACCAGGTGGCAAGAACGCCACGCTTGAAGAGTTTGGACGCGATTTGACCAAGGCAGCAGCTGAGGGCATGATGGATCCATTGGTGGGCCGTGAGGCCGAGATTGAGAGGACCATTCAGATCTTGGCCCGGCGCCAGAAGAACAACCCAGTTCTCATTGGTGAGCCCGGTGTGGGCAAGACAGCCATTGCCGAAGGCCTGGCCTACAAAATTGCCACCTCAGATGTGCCAGAGATGCTCGAGGGGAAGCGCATCGTTCAGCTGGATTTGGCCATGTTGCTGGCTGGCACCAAATACCGAGGTGAATTTGAGGAGCGCCTGAAGAATGTCATCAAAGAGGTCTTGGACTCGGAACGAAACATCATCCTGATGATTGATGAGATCCATACCTTGGTGGGTGCTGGTGGCACTGGTGATGGTGGTGGAGGTGGTGCCATTGACGCTGCCAACATCATGAAACCGGCCTTGTCCCGTGGAGAACTTCAGGTCATTGGAGCCACCACCAATGAGGAGTACCGCAAGTACGTTGAGAAGGACAAGGCGCTGGAGCGACGCTTTCAGCCGGTGAAGGTGCCGGAGCCCACGGTGGAAGAGACCGTGCAGATTCTGAAAGGCTTGGCCCGGAAGTACGAGGCACATCACAAGTTGAGGTACTCGGAAGAGGCCTTGGAGGCTTGCGTCAAGTTGGCCTCGCAGTATGTCCAGGATAGGTACCTACCTGACAAGGCCATTGATGTGATGGATGAGACAGGTGCCAGGGTCCAGCTGAGACAAAATGCAGACATCCCACAGGAAGCCTTTGAGGCCAAGAAGGAACTGCGGGAGATGGAGGCGAAGAAAGAAGATGCAGTCCGTGCTCAGAACTACGAAGCTGGGGAGTGCTTGGCTAACGGTTTCGTTTGCCCTTATTCAGACTTATTCATTTTTATTTAGCTTCATCATCATTGGCGTTTTGACATCAAATACATTACTAATGAAGGACTTGTATGCATACATAATCATATATGTACATATCATACATAAACAATATAGTATATATTTATATATGTCGAATTGAAATCGAAGTATATGTAATATAACACACACACACATATATATATGATTATGTAAAAATAAGTCAATGATATATCCCGCACATATAGTACAGATCCCAGCTGTCATAGGTTGTAAGTGCGACTCAGGAAGAGGCAGGCAAGTGCAAGGAAGAGGAGATTAAGCTGAAAAAGAAGATCCGAAAGTTGATCAAGGAGGCAGAAGAGCGTCCGGAGGAGCCTGAACCTACGACTGCTGGGGCAGTCCAGGCAGCAAGTGCTGCACCTGTGGTGCAAGAAACGACCACAGTAGTTGAGGAAGAGGAAGAAGAATTTGTGGAAGAAATTCCTGTAGTCCTTGAAGCAGATGTGGCCCAGGTGGTCTCCAAATGGACCGGTGTACCTGTGGAGAAGGTAAGCAGTGACGAGTCTGCCAGGTTGGTCCAGTTGGAGGAGATCTTGCATGACCGGGTCATCGGTCAGGAGGAGGCCGTCACTGCAGTGGCCAAGGCAGTTCGCCGTGCACGCTCAGGATTGAAGAACCCGAATCGGCCCATTGCGTCCTTCATTTTCTGTGGCCCTACGGGTGTTGGCAAAACCGAGCTGTGCAAGGCCCTTTCTGCGGCCTACTTTGGAAAGGAAGATTCGATGATCCGCTTGGATATGAGTGAATTCATGGAAAGGCACACCGTCTCCAAGCTGATTGGTAGCCCACCTGGCTACGTTGGATATGATGAGGAAAGCCAGTTGACGGATGGAGTGCGCCGCCGACCTTACAGCCTCGTGCTCTTTGATGAGGTGGAGAAGGCTCACCCCGATGTTTTCAACCTTTGCTTGCAGATTTTGGAGGATGGTCGCCTGACAGACTCGAAGGGTAGAACTGTTTCCTTCAAGAACACCCTCATCATCATGACCTCCAACGTGGGTGCCAAGAACATTGAGAAGGGCTTGCTGGGTGGTGGAGGTCTGGGTTTCTCGGGCTTGGAGGATGATGTCGACACCTCCAGCTACCAAAGGCTGAAAACCGTGGTCCATGACGAACTCAAGAACTTTTTCCGACCAGAGTTCCTCAACAGATTGGATGAGATCATTGTGTTCAAGTCTCTCAACAAGCAGGAAGTGGCACAAATTGCAGAATTGGAGTTCAAGAAGGTCTTCAAGCTCACCACTGAGAAGGGCATCAAACTTTTGTTGACCGACCGGTTCAAAGTCAAGGTGGTGGATGAAGGATTCAATCCGGTCTATGGAGCACGTCCACTGAGACGTGCCATCACCAGACTCTTGGAGGATCAACTGGCCGAAAGTTTCTTGGAGATGCCGGCCACGGAGGGCGAAAATGTCATCGTGGACTTAGACAACGATGCACAGGTCCGAGTCCTGAGACAACAGGAGGAGCCCGAGTTAAACGGCCAGTCAACGGAGTCTGAGTCCACGCCTACCAAGGTTGCTGAGCCCACCGCGGCATAGAACTCCACACTGTTTTGATCTTTCCATGTGTTGAAAAAGAGCCAAATTTTCGATCAGTGGTTGAGAGTTGCTCTTGGTTGGAAGCGCTTGAGCATGGACATTTCAGCATATTTCAGCAATGTCAGCGTCAGTTGTTTGTCAGCCCATTTGACCGACTTGACTTGCAATGGCTTTGGACTGAGGAAAGCTATTGCTGAAGAGCTCTGCAAAAGCGCTCGAAGCTTCATGACAGCTCTTTGTTTGAATTTAAAGTTTGAGAGAAGCTTGGAAACTCCCACCATTATTATTCAACATTCCCTCTAAAGCCGTCGCAAAAAACAGTCTTACTGCATAGTTCGACGGCAAGCAGTTGCTCTTTGCCAAGGCAAGCAGTTTTGCAGCACCACCACAGGTCAGCTAGTGGCTGCCGTGGAGCCCATTTTCTCAATCGGAATCCAACCCAAACCGACATTGGAAGACATGGCCCAAACATATTCAAACATATTATATAATAAAATATATCCAAACATGACCTGAGATGATCCAAGGGTATCCAGGCATAGCATGGCATACCTTAGTTGTGCATGGTTTTGTCCGAAGATCTGGCACTTAAAATTCCAGAGAATTATGATGGATCGCATTCTGGATCATCACGGATCATTCTGGATCATCATCATTTTCCCATACTTTTCATTACTTTTCCGATGTTTTTCCATGGCAAGGCAACTTGAAAGGGGTCTGCCGCACTGCCACAACAGCCAGGTGGTGTTGGAGTTCCAAAGCAACTGGTTGGCCAGCGGAGCACGGCTGGACGTCCAGGAGCTGCGCGCGGGCTATGCGGAAGTGCCCCAGGACGCCGGCATTTGGTGACCAGCTGGACAGCTCAATGCATGTGGGTGTCCGGGTATAACCTCACCATGCATGGCAACTTTAATACGGATAATGGACGAATGAAGAATGACTGAACTATGATGATGATGATGATGATGATGATGATTCACCAGTGAATGGAACGGGATGCTTTCCTTTTTAAAGTCACATCCATATGAAAGTGCATGTAGATACTGTGGATGGAAGAAATCCTGCACCACTTTGGATGGTTGAAACTATAAATAATGGGATAAACCACCTATCAACTGGTGCAGGATTTCTTCCATCCACCGTATGTCATTTATATAGGATGTACTTACTGTAGATATAAGATGGCATAACCACTCATGTAAGCATCAAACATAGTATAGTGAAATGGCATGCCACGTGTATGTTTCATTGTATTTTGTGGTTGGTGTGGGAATGTGTGAGACGCGTCGTGCGTGCTTGTCCCACTGACTGGACAAGGGCATTAAAGATCTAATCGTATCCTATGCGTTGCACTGGGTTTCCTAAAGTTGGGCACAAACAAACAACGAGTGAATGCAACACAGTACAGCATGTACAGCCTTGCTACTGTAATAGTCTCAGATGTCTCAGGTTTCACCCAAAGTTACCACCAACTGATCCAATTGATCCAAGTCAAGGTCGGGTCGAGAACGTTGCATGAACTGTGCAGGATGTGCTGAAAGGAGTGACCTTCAGTGTCGAACCACGTATGAAAGTGGGCGTGGTTGGTATCTTGGATGCAGGATAAGCCGCTAAACTCCAACGACATAAGATCAATTTCTATCTATTTCGATCCATTTCTGGGGTTTCCCTGGGAAGAAACTGCAGCTCCAGCCTGGCAGCTGACACCGAGCTGCGCACTGCAAGGCACTACGGGATGTGGAAAATCCAGCATGTTGTGCCTCGGCTTAGAGATATTTAGAGATTCTTTCATCATTCCAGCTGGCTTTACTATTCCGCATTTCGTTGAAATGGAATTTAATTTCATGCTACCTGCATCTACCTGCCTTTTCCCACACACACTAAAAAGGACCGTGTAACCCCCCAAGAAACAGCCGGTCAGTTGTATTGTCCTTGATCCAATTTGATGCAGTTTTTCAGTATTGGCAATGTGCCTGGATGCGCCGCGCCAACTGTGGAGGCTGGCACTATTGCGTATCATCGAGCCGCGCGGGGGTCGCATTGTCATCAACGGTCGCTAGACAAAAGCTGGGAGGGTTGTGCCGGTTGTGCATTCGCGAAATGTGTTTGAAGCAGTACTAATGGGACTTTTTGGGTTTAGTCATCCATGGGCATCTCAGATGATTTCAGCAGGTTTTGGATACGCCATGTGGAATTAATGAAATGGAATCTCTTCAATGCCAAATACTCGCCTGGTGGTCGCTTGTGGCAAGGTATCGACACCCGAGACATTGGTCTGGCTGGAGCCTCACACTTTGGAGCTTCAGCACCTGGAGCCAGGCACCGCTTTGGTTTTTGTGACGCAGTCGCACCCAGGCAACTTTGCGCACAGCTCTGGGCTTGGTGCCGCAGGCGTGTGGGGATGGCACTTCACATTGGAACTTGGCAGCCAAAGCAGTCAAGTTCCAAGGTGTGTTAAAGTTCGACGCATCAAAGAAACATCATGCCAGATATCCGGTGGTTCGGAGGGAGCTATGGAGCTACGGGTCTCCATATGCCCCGCAACTTAAATGGCTAAATGGGAGGCCAAGGGGCTACAAACGGTTTGCCAACCACATGAGAGCCTGGTAGTAGCACATAGTAACCCCCCCAAAAGATAGAATAGTAATATGTCCCCAACATTTCCATGAGATTTACAAGGGATTTACCACTTTTTCTGCGAAATTTTCTCAGTGGATCCATGAAGCCATCCTCCAGGAGCCGATGCTCTTCACTGGCACCTTGCGACACAACCTGGACCCCTTCAAGGCGTACACCGACGGCCGCATCAAGCGCCATGGCGGCACGAGGGAAATCCATGGCCAAAAAATGGGCATTTCAATGGGAACATGAAACATATGAAAAATATTGAAAAATCAATGCACTAATGGGGTTATTTTCCAGCAAACCCTGTTTGGATACCGGAGGGTGCTGGGTATTGCTAGCTTTGAGTTCGTGCGTTTGCGATGCAGTTTCGGGGACCGTTCAAGTCTGGTTCAGTTTCAACGGTGCTGAGGAAAGCTGTGAACTGCTGCCATCTTGAGAGCTTCGTGAAGTCTTTGCCATTAGGTAGCTCGCCATGGGCAGTCTTGCGGCTGTGGGATGGTTTGCAGGTGGTTAAGCTATGTTCAACTCAAGTACACTTAAATATGTGCAAGTGGAGGTCATTCGGGGTCCCTAGGGCCTATGGCACAGGATGCTGTTTGGCACGACAGCTCATATCGGGCTCAAACTGCGGGTCCTTTCTCCCAAAAAACTTTCCAAACCCGACCTGTTGAGCCGTCTGAGGTTTGGACCACCAGGTGTCCGATGAAGGCTGGATTGAAAGATCCCGCAACTGAAGGGTGGGGCTGGAAAACATCGAGGACTTTTACATACTTTTACTTTAAAGGAAAAACATCAAACTTCGATGTTGTCTTGGCTCTCAAGACTTGAATGTGCATGAGCAGGTAGAAACTCCAATATACATCAATATGCTCTGTTTCCAAAGTGCTGCAAATTGCTGGTTCTCCCTGTTACAATTGACATTTTCCAGATGTGGTTAACAGATGTTAACAGGCCCCCGTTCCACCCGTTGGTGAAATCGAGGTGGCAATTTGAGCTTTGGACAGCGACAACTCCTATGCCTTGCGCGAATGGTTTTGAGGACCGGAAAACTGTGTCATATAACGAACATAATATATATACATATCTATACATAATCAGTTTGAATGATATATAAATAAATATATATATATATATATATTATTATTATATATACAAAACAACCTATATTCCATGATATGATCATATCAATCATGTCATATCCCTGTTTTTTTTTAACCCTCTGGTAATGGTAAATTTACAGTTCGACCATGAAAATAAGCGATTTTCAGTGGTTTAACTAATCTTCTAATCCCGGTGACTGCCAGTGTCGTCATGTTAATTTACTGAAGGGTAAGGCATACTACTACATCAGGAAATCTTTGAATTGTCAACTTCCATATTGGGCTTGTCCAAAAATGGGGACATCATGGGGAAAGGATGATCAGCCATGATCAACCACAAAGCCATGGGTCGAGGCAGCCAGCCCTGCTGTTGCTGGATGAAGCCACTTCTGCGATTGATCCAGCCACACAGGACCTGAGGGACAGTAAGAGGGTAAGAACCACCTTGTGCCCCAGTCAGAATCAATTAATACCAAATTTGTTACATATACCTACAGAATCCTACAGATATATACACATATGTTACATATGGCTTATAGTTACGCCACTTACTACATATCTGAGATGCGTCTCCAAGCAACCAGATGAGCGTAGCAGGCATGTGCCATTTGTGCCATTTGATGCGACACGAGTCATGCCAGGAGTCGGTGCAAGACACCATCAACCACGCCTTCCCCACCTCCACCATGTTGGCGGTGGCACATCGACTGGAGACCATCATGGAGTTCCTGGGCCATCAGGTCATGATGTTGTTGTAATTTCTTGTGTAGCTTCCATTTTTTTGGAGAGATGGGTGAACTTGTAAACACATATAAACACCCAGCCTACAGATGTGGCACCTAATCTTTTAGCCAATAGCTCAGATGACTAGTTTGATGTTTGCAGGTAGCCCTGAACCTTGCCATAGGGAACTTTGGCATTGCACCATATTGCAGCTATCCACGCGGCTGAGGTTCGATCAAGTCCAGGTCCCAGATTGGTCACATGGGGAACCACAACAGGTGATGCCGCACCACTGTGTGAGTCCATTTCTCCCAAGCCCCTAACAAAGCCACATGACAAAAGGATAGAAAATGTACCAAGTCATGCATGCTAAAATTTTACCTAGGGAACTACGAGTGAAAACGTTGCCTTGGCATAGGTGTTACATTGTGTGCCTAGTTTTAAATAGCCGCCTCATTGCGGGCCTCTGGGTCGTGTACTTCAGCGACTGGTGACAAAAAAGCCTTTACACGCAGCCACTGAGCAAACCTTCCCGGAATTCAACCCATGGATGGAGTATTTTGTTAAGTCCTCAGGTTGTGGTGTTGGATGCTGGCCGCGTGGCGGAAGAGGCTGGGGTGACCAGACAAAGGATGATCTGCTCTAGACTCTAGCCACTGAAGTGCCAATAAAGTTCAACTTGTTTACCCGGCAGCACTTTCTCAAGATGCCCTAGTTGTGCAAACCTGGTGATTGTGCAACCCATTTGATCACCTTAGTTGCAGCAACTGTTTGGAAATCATTTGAATTTATGGCTTCATTGTCCACAGTGCCAGGGTCCACCGAAGGTGGTGGCTTTAAAGCCGGATGGTATTTTCAAGCGCACCTTGGCCGGAAATTGAGGGTATTGATGAATGGAACAGGAATATACAGGAATCATATTCGCCAACGATTTTCATCCCTATGGAGCCGCGCCTAATTGATGCCCGCTTGAGTCTGGACTCGGCTGAGTTTTCTAGGGAGGGCTATTTATTTATTTTTTTTTCGCGGCAGTTTTTTTTTTTTGGTTCCTGGTTCTATGCATTCCTGTTTCTCTGATTTTCTGCTTCTCTGCTTTTCTGCTTTTCTGCTTCTCTGCTTTTCCTGCTTCTCTGCTTTTCCTGCTTCTCTGCTTTTCTGCTTCTCTGCTTTTCTGCTTCTCTGCTTTTCCTGCTTCTCTGCTTTCCCTGCTTCTCGGCTTTTCTGCGTCTCTGTTTTCCCTGCTTCTTTGCTTTTGTACTTCTGTGCCTTTCTACTTCTACTATTCTACTTTTTCTTTTCTTCAGTCATGTGTTTTTGCTGCTCCACTTCCTGCTCCTTTGCTTCTTTGCTTCCTGTCTTTACTGTATCTTTGTTTTTCATTTTCTTTTGCTTTATTCTGTTCTGTTTGTATCCTAAATGAAACCCTAGAGAGACCCTAGGTGAAACCCAAAGAAAGCCTAAAGAAATCCTGATAAGAAACCCTACATGAAGCCCTAAATGAACCCTAAAGAAACCATAAATGAAACCTAAAGAAACCATAAATGAAACCTAAAGAAACCATAAATGAACCCTAAAGACACTTTAAATGACGCCCTAAATGACATCCCAAAGAAACCTTACACAACACTCTGAGAAAAAACTAAATGAAACCCTAACTGACACCTTAGCTGAAACCCTAAATTGGCACCCTAAAGAAATCCTAAATGAAACCCTATATTGAGACCCTAAATGAAACCCTAAATGAAACCCTAAAGAAACCCTAAATGAAACCCTAAAGAAACCCTAAAGAAACCCTAAATGACACCCTAAATGAAACCCTAAAGGAACCCTAAAGGAACCCACTTGAACGTTTAGAAATCGTGAAAAGAAATCCTGATAAGAAACCCTGGAATGAAACCCTAAAGAAAACTTAAATGAGCTCCTGAACGTTTAGAACTCCTGATAAGAAACGCTGAGACCCTACATGAAACCGGGAAAACCCTAAATGGAACTCTAAAGAAACCCGAACCCTAAAGAAACCCTAAAATGAAACCGTAAAGAAACCCTAAATGAAACCCTAAAGAAACCCGAAATGAAACCCTAAATGAAACCCTAAATGAAACCCCAAATGAAGCCTTAAATAAAACCCTAAATGAAACCCTTAATGAAACCTTAAATGAAACCTTAAATGAAAGCCTAAAGAACCCGTTTTCTAGTGTCTATTGGCTGTCTGGATGGAACCTCTTATGTTGGCTTGTTCACACCAGCTGGCATTGCGGTTTCATGGCTGGCTGAGGTATGGTTGATGCAAAAAGAGTGTCTTGGCTTGACAATTGGATGAAGTATATATATATTATATGATATATATATATAATATTACATTATATTATATATAATATCATATATATATATGAGATGGCAGTTTCCGTGTTACAAGCAGGGAAGAGTCATTCTGGAACTCTCGGCTTAGAAGTTGGAACCATACCGTGACCAGCTTCGCGGGCTGATTCAGCAGATTCGACCAGTCTATGTGGATCAAATCCCCAGTTTTGAGCATTCCTTCAAGTCGGGGTCGCAGCTGGTGCCCCCAGTAGAATTCTATGATATTCCATGACTTCCTTGCAAAAAAAGGATGTGGTGAAGGAGTTCTACTGAGCATTTGGCTCCAAGATTCCTGGACCTCGACAATGCTGCGGGGAGCGGCACGACTGGTGCCGTGAAGAGGGACCTGACAATGGAAATTGACGCAGGAAAAGGAATGTGGCAGGAATGTAGGAAGGTATTTGCACCAATTGTTGATGGATGCTCAAGGTGTACCTTTTCTGGATTGATTTGGGCCAGCAGCACCAGTAAGATCACGCAGAGGAAGCCAAGCCTCGAGAGATACCATGGAAAGTTATGGGTAGCATTGCTTTGCACATTGGTCCCTCGCTTTCCACACTTGAGACCGCCACTAAACCAAGCTGTTGGGTACTTGAGTGATATTATAGGTGTTGTGATGTAGCTGAAAGAGCTGTTGGGTATTGAAAGACATTCTCTTTTGCTACCTGCAAGCACCATGCAGCATGACAAAACCTGAGGCACGTGTGAGTAATGTGGTGCATTTTGGTGCATTGCTATGCATTGCTCATGAACACAACAACCGCCATCTCAAACGACGTATCCTCCTCTCAAGCTTCACGGATTCCACGGATTCCACGGATGGGTCAATGCACTCAACCTGACCTGATGGATCCTGAATGATCCTGATGGCCTCCGAGCCGCTGCTGAGTCTGGGTCATCCTAAAGAGAACTTGATTGTTTTTTATTGGAACCTCCGGGAGTGCTTTGGCAATGACCTCCATTTCGCCACGTTCGAAGGCAACAAGGAGAAGGTCGTGAAGCTGTTGAAAGCGGATCCCACCTTGGTGGAGTCCCGTTTCACCTATCAAGTTTCAGCCAATGAGGAGGGCAGTGGCCAGGCCATCCACTTAGCTGCCTCACGGGGGCACTTGGACGTCGTGAAGGAACTGTTGGCGCACGGCGCTTCACTGGCTGCCTTTGTGACTCGAAATGGTCGACCTTTCTACGATGTCTTGCACGCTGCCATCATTGCTGAAGGCAGGGGTGGAGAGGACCATGTGATCAAATTCCTACTTCCAAAGGTGCAGTTGGGACGAACTTGCGATGGGAAGCACCCTCTCCACTTGGCCTTCGTTATGGGAAAGCCGTCACTGGTTTGCTTAATTCGTTCTTGGATGGAAAAGACGGATGACAAGAGCAGTGAACCGCAGTGGGCAGACTCCCAGAGCGCAGTGACGGCTCCTTTGCGTCTTGGCATCCAAGGGATGAAGATGACGTTGAGGGAACTCATTCTATGCGCAGATGCTTCGGTGCTATCCTTGAGAATTTTCATGGAAGACTCGCCAAGAGCGGTGCCGCTCTTTCTGAAGCGTTTAGACAACCTCGGGATGCTGAGGAAGGCAGGATTTAGGATTCCTTTAGTGTTCAACCCGAATCTGAATGAGTCGTGTATGATTGGCAGTCAATTTGCAGGATGGGTGACGTGGGTTTAGATTACCTGACACACACAGGTGGTGGATGATGCTCAGATCACCAGCTTCGATGTGGCCAATTTACTGAGACGTTCCCCAGATGCAGCGTTGAGCATCCTGGATGCTTCCACGGTGACCCCGGCATCTCACAGCGACTATCCCTTGCCAGCGGAGATAAGCTTCGAACCCAGGGACGTTCCGCAGATGGTGTGGAATTTGGTGAATCGTGGCCGAAAGGATGCAGAAGTTCTCACATTTCTGGAGGAGGACAACGAATGGGCCTATGATTTCGTCCGGCATCGCGGACCTCCTTGGCATGACTGGCTGAAATACAAGGGCGGAGAGACCTTGGAGGCTAAGATCCAGGTCTGTCTCATTCCTGACATCATGACACCACAAGTCTTCTCATCGTTGGCAGCGCAAGAAACTGACATGAAGGTTTTTGAAAATCCCACCATCGCAAATATGATAGTTCATGTGTTTGAGCACCATGCGGGCAAGATTCCCTTGGTGCGATCCGTGATGAGTCTGTGGGCATTGGCTCTACTTTGTCTCCACAGTTGGTCCATGCGACACCTAGAACCGGGGGATGATTTGCCTCAAATTGCATCGATTGCTGTACGTTTCCTGGCAGCAGAGGGTGTGGTGGACGTGCTCTGGGAATTCTTGGAATTCTGCGGTTGGGCAGCTATTGGCGAGCCTTGGCAGTACTTCAGCATGGACAACTTCCTGGATTGGTTGGGAGCATTTGTCCCATCCTATCTTTGGTGGGACCCCACCTTTCGTCCTGTACTGGTTGTCACCATCCTGCTATGCTGGGTGCGTCTGCTGCGGGTAGCCAGCTGTTGTGAGCCCATTGGCCGTGAACTGCAACCATTCACGCGGCTGCTCAAAGGATTGGGCCCCGTGCTGTACATCTCAGGTCGGGCTGTAGAATTGTGGGTGTGGATCGTTTGTAGTGTAGGGGGACCTTCAACTGAATTCCTTATTTCCTGACTTTAGATTGGTTGCCGTCTTGAAAATTTGCTCCATCAATTCCATTCTATTCGTTAACCACAGATATACCTCTTCAGTTGTGGCAAGCTGATCAGATCTGAATCGAGGCGTTGCCTTCGGGGCTTGGAGCCATGCTTTCTTCTCCCTCCAAGGAGGTTCTTTGGACCTCTCAGTCTACAACAGCTTCGTCACTCTCATCACTGCAGGGCTGCCCGGCGAACCCAATACGGATCCACTAGAGGCAGCCTTGCTGTATTTGGCTGTGACGGTCTTCACAGTGGTGATTTTGAACATTTTCATTGGTGTCATCGGCGAGGAATATTCCCGTCTCAAAGAGGAGAGTCCCTTGCTGTTCCGGCAGCAGCGTGCTCGGATGTGCTTGCACTACGTGCTGCGCAAGCCGCACTTCCGATGCAACTTGTGTTCACCAAATCTGGCTGATCTGGGTGTTGTCCTGGCAGTTGCGGTGGGCATAGCGATACAAGTCTACTCTGCTCATCAAGGTGGCTACTTTCTTTCGGAGGGGGAAGGGTTTGTCTATGTTATTTTGCTAGCCTTTATGCATGCCATGTCGATGCAAAGTTACACACTGCTGCCGGACGGATGTTCAGCCAAAGGCAGGTTTCTCTGGTTTTTCTGCCCCGCTTCTCGAAGCATGGAAGACACTGACCTGGAGGAATTTACCTTTGATTTCGATGATTCAACGTTGACATGATGTGAATAGACGAGAATAGACATGAAAGAATCATGAATGTACACAACTCTCGCAAAGACATGTGTCAAGTGCGACTTCATTTCGGAGCAGGTTCAAACTCCGCTCTCGCTCTTTTGAAATCTTCCTGGGCCAAAGAGCCTCAGCCGAAAGAATTGTGTCTGAATACCGACAACTCGGGCGCAAAGCAAGTTCGGACTTGGGGTTTCGCGAGGACCGGGCATGACATGGCATGACACTGCAGATTTTCGAGATTTAAGGCATTTACAAAATTCAGTTCGATTTTTGATGATTCTATCAGGCAGCTCTTGAGGCAGTTTGGCTCCGGATGATTTGCCACTTCCCGCCTCTCAACGTGTTGCGCTTTGCCCGTGAGGGCGTCACCAGGTTTTCAAGCAGTGACGATGCAAGTGGGATCAAGTGGGCGTTTCCTTCTCATTTAATATTAATGCATATTAGTACCATATAATGTATACCATATAATGACTTTCCCATTTCATGCCGTTTTTCGCTTCACCAGCTCAGTCAAATTACTCTCAAAGCACATCAGAATGCAGTGGGTCACGTGCCTTGTGCGACTCTTCCAATGCGAGTTTTCAGAGTCAAGGTCTCAGCGTCGCAGTAGCACATCATAGCTTCTCCACATTGCTGTAAGTGCAACCTGAAATGCAATGACTGTGACCTTGTTCTTTTGCGATGAGGACACTCACAAGTTCTTGACTTCTCCGCTCACATCTCCCTTCAAGTCTCAGCATTTGACGCAACCGACCCACTTTTTCTCTCCCTTGATGTGTGGGCCTGTAGGGAAGGATTTATTGAAAATCAAGTGTGATGTCAACGCTGCTGTGTCAATGTTGAGGCATTCCGTCAGCAGCAGGCGTGGTTGAGCAACGAATCAGCTGAAGTCCTGATTCACAATATTAGGATTCATGTTTAATATCATACTGGTATCATGTCCGCAAATTTTCTGTCCCAACTGCATACACTCCCAAGACTCACATTTCAATGAGTAAATAGCCTCTTGTATTTGAACATAGCGATGGAAAATGACCCAGTTGTCGATGATTTAGCTATGAAACATGACCATTTTCTCCGGCTATGTGGGTCATTACGGAACACGCAAATGGCCGATTGCGGCTTGGCCATCGGCTGCTATGGCAGCGGAGGCTCCGCAGGAGACGGTGCTTCAGCGCCTCCAACGCTTGGAGGCTGAGGAAGCTGCTGTGTCTTGGCGGCAGTGGGTGCTTCTAAGGCAGCCAGCTCCCTGTGGCAGTTGTGGCTTGTGCTTAGAGCAGTTTCTTAGGACTTGTGACTTCTGAGTATTAGCCTTTTGCAGACATACGTCAAATGGGATACAGTAAATGGGTCATTTTGTATATTATAGTTTTTTTTCTGGGATGGAAACAGCGTAAAACATTCCAAAATGGAGGTGAATGATTTTGAGATATCTGGAGCCATATCCATGGGAGTCCAACACCTGGGATATCATCCAAAATGTTGGCAGGTGGAAGCCGCAAGGTAGTTGGATTTGACTCCGATGGCCGCAGGTGTCGGCCGAAGTTGTACATGCAGCAGCAGAAGAACAGAGTGTTGCTGACTGAGACATACTTTCACAAACTGAGAACTATAAACTATAGCAGAGGAGGTTGACAGGTTTTTTCGGACAAGAATTTGTTGCAGATTGGAAGAGAAGGACAACAACCCTGGAGACTTCGATGCTTTAACCATTTATTCATGTTTTATCCATATTTTGGAGTCTTGTCATGCATGACTGGGAGATTGCAGCCCAGAGGCCCACTCAGCCTGTCAAAAGCTGCGCGCAGCCCTGGCAAAAGCAGAGGACAAAAGTTGCAGTGTTTGAGAAATTTGACGGGTCAGGATATCAAATATAGTAGGCAGGAGTCAGATTTAGATTGATTTAGTATTGAGATATAGTCTAGTATGAGCCAGAGAAAAGTTCCTGACTTCATCTTGCTTCTCTTCCTCCATCTTCCTCCCCATAGCGCAGAATCCCCGCAGGAAGACCAGGCAAAAGCTTGGCAGGCCAAGCTTCATCAGGAGAGAGAGGCTGGATGAGTGATCGTTTGCCGAAAGTCAACAATTTTCCCAATCACAAGTGAAGAGGAAAAGGACAAAGAGTTAAAACAAGAGTTACAAAGAATTCACTCCTGTTTTAATTCTTGAGATCATACATCATCATATAGACCCTTTAGTTTTAATTCTTTGCATCAGAGTGACAGGACAGCGGTTTGAACTGGAGGTTTTATTCCTCATTTGCAGTTGTGCCATCCTGTGGAAATGAACGAGGGAAAGGTATATATGTGGACCTTATGCGAAAGGCCGCAGAAGTGGAATCACTGCAGCAAAGCATTACCGAGCTTGAAAGCAAGGTGGGTGGAAGTTGATGTTTCACATCAGCAGATTTGTTTGGCGCAAAGACCAAAGAATTAAGCAAGGTGCATATGTACTTCCCGTCATGCAACACCATGAAAGGTGGGATGCAAGATGATGCAAGTGAATGAATGTGAATGACTTCGAAGGTTAGTTCCCTGCGCTTGGAACGCGAGCAGCGTGGGTCTCGATTGAAACCTGATTCTTTTTGGTTGCTTGCGATAGACTGCATTTTATGTCGGCTCGTTGCATTTTCCGACAGTGGGAGGATAGTCGCATTTCAAAGTGCTGCAGCTGCTATGCTTCAGCTTCAATGCGATTAACATCATTTCAAACGATGTGTTGAGCGCGAGTGCTATTCCGCAAGCTGGGCTTTGGGCTTCACGAATTAGCATGTGCTCTGCGCTGAGGGCTTTTGAAGAACGAAGGCTTGCAGAAGGACCTAAGGAAGAGTTCAGGTGCCCCTGGCTTTCTTTACAATGCAATGGGAACATACATTTCCTGTGTGATGGGGATAGCAAAAAAGATGCATCCTGTGGCGCTCTGACGTTTTTTTAGGTGTGCCGAGAAGCGTGAGATGGAGCTTCACAGCGAGCAAAGATACCCTTCAGCACTTACACACACTCGTTACTGGGAAAACCTTGGATCGGTAGTTTCATTGGTACTTTGATCATGTGCTACATATAGGGGCGCACACACACAGAGATGGACAGATGGGTGGATGGATGAATGGATGGATGGATGGAAAGATAAAAAGGTAGATTAGATGGATAGATGGATAGATAGGATAGGATAGGATAGGATAGGATAGGGAAGGATAGGATAGGGAAGGATGCGATACTGTAGGATAGGATAGATAGGATTTGAATGGATTTGATGGATAGGATAGATAGGATAGCTAGGGTAGATAGGATAGATAGGATAGACAGGATAGATAGGATATGATAAGTCGGAAAGATCAGATAGATAGGTTGGATAGGATAACTCCGATGGATAGGGGAGATAAGAGAGACAGGAGAGACAAAGAGATAAGAGAGATATATAGGAGAGATAGGATAGATTAGATGGATAGGATGGATAGGATAGATAGGATACATAGATGAATGGATAGATAGACAAATAGATAGACAGACAGACAGACAGATTTTCAAATAGACTTGTAGACAGACAGATACACAGAGACACAGAGAGATAGATTCATAGAGAGGTAAACAGATAGACAGGAGATGGACAAAATAGACAGACAGACAGACAGACCGACCGACAGACAGACAGATTGTAGACAGATAGACAGATAGATCCATACATAAATTGGACATGTGTGCATACATGCATGCGTGCATGCATACGCGTGCATCCATAATATGTACATTCGTATCCATACTAGGCAGCTACATTCTTTATTGTTTGGCAGGGCTGGCAGGGTATTTAATCTAGGATTGGCCCTGGTTTGTCCACGTCTCTTCTGAGGTCAGCTGCAGGCGGTGGAGCCGGGCCAACTACGTTCAAACTTTAGACTGTTCACACACGTTTACAGGGATCCCCTAAAAAATCTCTAGACGTCCAAAGATGAACTGCTGATGTTGCCCAAATCGCCACGGCTTGTCCTTCTAGATTTTCAAGATCCATTGAAGCGGTTTGAACATGTATGTTTCAACGATTGAACGGCTTTCCGAAAATCAAGCAGGAACATGGGTCAGCCCACAATCACGGGATATCAGGGGTACAACCACTGCTGCATCACCATTGTATAGACCAGATAGTACAAAAGTATAATCATCTTCTACAATTCTACAATCACTAACGAACAGAGGTCTATATAATGATAATGGGTCAAAGAACCAATAACAACCACTAATCAAAACATGGTTTTACTTTACCTTGCCCATGTAGAATGTTAGCAAAGCAATCGCAAACCATCCCCAAAATTTCCATAAATGCATGGTGTTGATTCAGATATCACCAGAATCGGTCCTTTCCTCACGAAGTGCAAGTTCTCAAAGTAGCACGGCCTTTTCCACAATGGGCCGCGTATCAGTGAATGCTCTCTGAAATGGGCAATTGGGCCCCAAAGGAGCAAAATGGTAAAAAGGTGAAATGATGTATGTTGAATTGTGTGGCACACAATTCACACCGGTAAAAGGGTGTGAGGTGAAAAATTAAAGTAAACGGAAAATGTTAAGCTCCCTCAGTCAGGAAGAGGTTCACCATCAAACTCACCAGCAGGCACTTCACGTCCTAGAAAGTGAGCGCATAAAGTGCAGTATCCCCTTGATTGGATACTATGGTCTGTGAACCTCCTTGTGCCAAACCCTTCCGCTTCGAGTGAAGAAGACAGGATTCTGGGTGATCTCTCGTAGACCTCGTCGATGATTTCTGATCAGCTCAGCTTTCTCACAGAAAGGCAAGAAAGGAAAAAGGCCCAAAGGCAAGGGCAAGGGCGGAGTTTACTCCGTCACTCCGGAAGGAAGGCAGATTTGTTATGCCTACAACTCCCAATGGGAGCGTTGCGATGGATCTTGCGGTCGCCTGCATGTGTGCCAAGCATGCTTCGGCACGCATCCGCTTCACATGCATGCAGGGGAATCGAAGAAGAGCCACCCATCGGGAGGCAAAGGTGGGGCTTCAAGCCCCCCGGAACCATGACAAAAACGGGGCAGACTGGCCGTCCTGTATTTGCATGCAGGACCTGATCGCAAGGCCAGTCTCAAGGCAAGCCTCCAAAAATCGTGCGATCAAGCAGAGTGCGAGCTATATGTTGAGGAATGGGACATCTTACGTTCTGAGTCCCAGGACTTGT